ACCGTGAAGTAGCTGCAGTGAAGGACCTGTTTTCTTGAAAAGTAAATCAAGAAAACAGCCGTTCTCTGTGTGGAAGTGTAGAAGATGAAGCGGTGATCAGACCATAAACATGAAGATGGATGTCAGCAGTGGAAGGCACCACAGGCAGCTGCCGCACCTATACAAAATATGAAGAAAGAAGGGAGACAGTAAAAATGATTGATCAGAATTTCAAGTTTTTTTGTTAATATTTAATTCCTAATTCTGTTAAGCAAGAAATTCATCTGATACTGGTGGTTCGGTTCAGCTATCAAAGAAATGATCAGCGAGTGGTTGACCTGTGCACAACAAGGACAGCGTGGTGTTCAAATGTGTTCCGGCAAGAGTGAGTGAGGCGTGCGACCGTGCTGTGTGATACGACTTCAATTCATATTGGAGCAGCATATATATTTAACTCACTCAACACAAAGATGAATCGCAAATAAGGGTCAAAACAGAGCATATGAGTTAGTTCTTATGATATTTGTCATACTTTAAATACAATCATCAGAAAAGTAACAAGGCATATTTTTGTAGCAACAAAATAATATTACAACGTTGATTCGAGACTAATAATTTCCTACTGATTTGTCAGCCAAAGCCTGCTTTGTGTAATATTCGCCACGAGACTACCTCCTAGTAACGTCATTTGTTCAAAAAGAGCATGACGTTTAGCGGATCATGTTTTTGATTGTTAGACAATCACTGAGCCGTCCACATAAGCTGAATATCTCTGGTTTGCGATGTCCGCAATATCCGTAGTTTTTCAACACTCTTGCCATAGGAGGCATCGATTACTTCAATGTATTTCTCTCCGGAAGCAGGTCTTTTTCGACCCTGTTTTTTCATGATGCATGCTGACCTCCTGATCGACGCCTGCCGTGTTTCAGCTGTCGCACAAGAAACTCATGGGAACGAGTAAATGGTTTAGACTCAACCCGTTTGTCTAACAGGGTCAACCTCCTCTCCTTAATTCCCAAATATGTTGAGGTCATCCGTGGGTAAAGAAAAGTAAAGTCATTTCTTATCCAGTCCATCAGTGATTTCCGATGCGGTCTTAAATCCACTAATACGTTTGAGTTGAGAAGTATTTGCTCCCTATTTTTGTATGAGGTCGTTTAGGTTAGTTTTTCGTCAAAGTGTATTTTATGCTGTCACGAGGAATTGAATAAACTACATAAGTGATAACCAGCAGAATTCGAAGCGTTGGCAAATCCTGTGCGTAACTAAATCCCGTGATTCTCAGGCCTGCGCCACAGAAAGTTTACCTTTGGCATTAGAATGGTGATAAAGAAGTTCGCCGTGGTGCCTGAAAATCAGTATTGAACTGTGAGAGGCATTTGCTGACGGTGACACTCTAAAGGCTTAAGGAAAATTAAACAGATAAACACATACGAAGCAACCCTTAGCCAAAGGTAAGCGGCCCATCGGCTGGCGCATGA